TTTCATGGATCGTGTGCAGTCCCTAAGAGTTACTCGGGAAAAAGCTGAAAAAATTAATGGCATGGCGAAACCTGGCTATGATCCATGGAAGCAATACCGAGAAAACGAAGATACACAAAAGTTCCTTCGAAAAGAAAATGAAAGCCAAAAACCAGGAATCTTAAAACGAGTTTACAAAGCTATGGTGGAGTGAGTTAAAACAAACGATAGCTATATACATTTATATAACAAGCTACTGCTCTTAGTGCTCTACTTATTTATAAGTAAAGCAGTATTTGTAGAGTAGGCAGAAAAAAAAAATTGATGAATCCGTTCAACTTTTGCAGTATTATTTCAACTTATCTCAACTTATGTAGTATTATTTGTTATAATCAATATATTAGCCAACGTGAATGATATTATAATCAATATATTAGCCATTGTAAAATTAATGATATTTACTTCAGTATACGATTCCATATAAATAATCGGTAGAGATGTTTCAAAGAACAGACATTAACAAAACAGTGGATAAGCCCAAGTTCATACATTTAAAAACATCCTAACTAAAGTTTTCATGGTATATTTTTGTAATTTTGCATGACGAACAGCAATAAATGATTTATCTTGTGTGCTGTATTCCACGTATATAATTTCACTGATGAAGTCAACGGACAGAGAGCTTTGAGGGAATCGAAATATACGTATGGCGTACCTATATACAGACGAATAATTATTCTTCGCATAAATAAGGTAGAATTACACTATTTTAAAATAACCAATTTACTGATAGAGACACTTACATGCACCTGCTATATATATTCAACCCGCGCTTACCCGCACCCATATTCACCGAGTGTGACACAAATTATGTGTCTACTAGTCAATGAGAGAGCATTTTCTCGCTAAAAGGGAAGATTGAGAGAAAAACATTGAAAATCTTCCAGTCGAATGGGAATACCGTCATGCAATCAGGGGTGCGCATAAAGAATATAAAAGTAAAATATAGTTAATAAAAACGGTAAAAACCTTTGATTGATATTCATATCTATTATAGACATATCAAGTATATATCGGATTTAACTGGACTGAACTAGATGCTTTCTTGGTTTTTTTTCATGCTTCTCAGTTCAGAAAAGTAGCTACTTATATAGAAAACAAGGAAGAGCCATGCAAGCAAGAGAGAGTGGCACCAAAGTATAGGCAGTGTCAATTAAATCTTCAGGGCCCACGAATCAAACAGTGAGGGGCTATATATTATAATACTAAATGTTAATCAGTTACTGTCTGACTTTTATTCCAGTATTTAATATAAAGTGCGGGTGGAGCAATCCATTTCTCACATTCATTTGTTGTTAAACTGGCAGACAAAATAAATAGCTGTTATTTAGCGGCTCATCAGTTGTCCATGGCATAGCATTTGTTCAAAAAATCAGCGTCTGTAATCACATATACACCGCGGATGAGCGAACTTGAGGGGCTTTAGAATCGCTCACTTTTATTTCGGTTTTACTTAATTTCTTTAAGTTTTCGTATCATTTTTCTGGCCTGGAATAAATTGCTGAGAAAAAGCCTTTCCTGTAGTCCTGCTTCTAAAAAAAATATTTCCGTCGTTTCTACCGTAAATTGAAATGGATGCATTTATGGTTCCGTGGTAGGCTAAACTGATGACTCATATTCCGCATATCATATGAATATCTTAATCAAAGGATTCACGGCGGAATACACTTTGTCCTGTAATTAATATAATCTTTGTTTGGCAATAAAAATAGTCAACAATGCACACAAAAACATCTGTCAAACGATAGTAATTTTGATTGCCGTTGTATGAAGAAGATAAACAATTAGATGAAAAAAGTATTATCTTCCGTCTACGCGTGTGTGTAATTACCAACAAACAATGATTATTTAGATTGTACGTGTATAACTGATTGTCTGTGGACAATGCTTTGAAATATTGTCTCTTTATTAAACATCAGTAACACAACTATGTTGACCTTGACCGTATTGGCACGTGCCCTAGCTAGCTATATTTGCCACGATGAACCTCATGCAATTAAATTTGGAAAATTGCACAATTTTAGCGCCCAAAACGCTAAAAATAATTTTATTTCTGTTATTTCATTACACATGTCAATAGTTATTTTTTGTTTCAGTCACTGCAACTTTTTAAAATCTAATTCTAATAGACCTAGCTTTGTACTGTACAACACCTAGCTTTGTACTGCTTCGTACAATATTCAGTTGTCGTGATCTCATTTTTTAAACCTCGTTTAATTATGAGTGGATATCGAGAGACATACGGACGAATAATAAGACTCTTTTTATTCCAAGCTATTTCAAGTAATAGCTGGGTATCTACAGCCAAGAACATAGCGGGATCCTAAACATTGAGCAACTAAAGTTATTATTACGAATTCTAATAATCATTACTTGAGTACTATCGCAAATGCTGCATTCTTATTGGCTAAGCTACTTATTGTCGTGATTCTTAACGAATTATTCAGTCGCCTAATTGGACCGTTATCTAGTAGTTTATGTTCAGACAGGTTTTCATTTGTAAAAAAAACTGTTAAAAGAGAATCATATTGGGAGCCGCACATGGGCAGGATACTTTATTGCCACACATGCAGACAGTGCGGCAACTGATGATCTTTTAATTAATCCATATTGTACGGGACTGCTAAAATTGGTACTCGTACCTATTTTTTTTTCCAGACTACCAATACAAAGGCCGAGAACGGATGAAATTTGCATGGGTACCCATTTAAGCCGGGTCGTGCCAATAAATTGGGAGTGGTGTTAGCGGGGCTGTATAAAATTTACATGTACAAGTGCGACTGCGCCTGCTTCCCTCCTCTGTTCACAGCCCCGTTATATTCAGCAATTATTTAGTATTTCCAGTAGCTAAGGTGGAATATCAAAAACCTCGGAATAACATTAATGGGGCCGTTTACAAAACGTAACGGTCTGAGGAGTAGGAGGGTTTCACAGGGTATGAAGGGGTGTCACTGGTGACGTCACACGATACGACAATCGGTTGACGAGCAAGTTGTGAAAAAATTCCATTCATAAATAATGTGCATAAAAATCCTCATCAAATCTTTATACTTCGCGCGAACAAATTGGCCTTGTGGAAAGTGCACAGTTTGAATTAAGAGGAGAAGGGATTCTATAAACTTGAATGGTTAGTTCTTTGCATTCAGTTTTCGTACGTAAAAAGACTACCAAGTGAAAACGCTCGAAAACTGGGTGCATGTTTAATTATATGATCCTCAAAAGATTTAATTTAATTTGATGCATGATATACGTTGCCTAAGAAGCTGACCATACGCTGACTATTTTAATATTATTGACTCAAATAGGAAATTAAAATTACACAAAAAATCAAATCGTATAGATACACACATATATATATATATATATATATATATATATATATATATATATATATATATATATAGAGAGAGAGAGAGAGATTAATGAATTGGTTAATACGAAGTTGCTGCATGTCAAAAACTGGTCAAAAATGAAAAGAGTCACGTTTTCTGTACCACTTAATAATTATTTGTTGCTGGTAGGGAGAGAAAGAAAGAGAGGAAACTATTACTCTACTTAAGTATCCCACTCAAATGATTACTAGTAATATAATTCTATTCATGGGAGCGTGCGTACGTGCACGGTATGGAAGAAGCTTTAAATAATGTTAAAAAGATATGCTAATAAGATACAGCTAGACATGCATATTATCAATAAGTTTATGAATTTTGTACATTCCTATAATTATATAAAAATATGAAAATGGCTAAACCAGTTTCTATTTCGGCATCGAGTATTATGTATATTGAGAATTTGGTACAGAAATGTTCCAGTAAGGCACTGAAGTATAATTGATTGGTTTTAACGATAAGCAGCCATTGGCATTGCAATTTTAATGGGATTCTCTATAGACGCGTTCACTGCATTTAGGGAGCAATCGGGCCGAAAAGTTGAATTTTGATCGCGAAAGCATTCAATTTTGCTATTGGCTGTTAGTCGGGCTGTGTGTATATACATATTATATATATCAATTATGCCAAGTTTTCTACAGTGCAGATAAGCCTTTATTGGTCGTAGTCAAAAATTTTGCCACAAATATTTCGCTTCAATAAAACTTGACTCTTCAATACAGGCAAAAGTTTTGTGTGATATTTTTGGAGATTTGATTATATATAGTTTGTTAAATTATATGCACTTTAATTGACAGGAAGAATAAATAAAAAAGCGGACTGTAGTGAAGGGCCACTCAGCAGTCCAACGTGTCCGCGTTTTTCTTATGGAAAAATATGCAATATAAGATGGACAGAAGGCGGAGCAGCGACCAGTAGCCAGGAAATGTCATTGACCTCAGCATCATTGACTGACTAGAGAGATGACGGATAGCATGCGTAATTAGGCATGCGCGAGGACACGTCGATTGTTCCGACTCAATGGCACTTCTAATCTCATATGCTTAACTTAAATACTTTTGAGATAAGGCGTAAAATTCCCAATATAGAACAATGCAAGCATTTCTGCGTCTAAAATAAATAAAAATAAGCAACTAAAAATCCAACCAATTACAAGAAACCGAATATAGCTTTACTATATACCTACTGATTTGCCTTTTATTGACTGGGTAAATATCAGCTCTATAAGACTTCGTAAGGCCATTTTCAAATATCAAACTTTTCATGCATGTGCAAATGCCGAATTATTTATAATGTTAATGAGGAATAGTGAGTGAACCAAATTGCATTTGGTTCGACACACATGAAAAATTCGACGTCTGAGACTCGTGGTGTAAAGATAGTGTTTTTCCACTGAATTTATCTTGGAACTCCGTAGAAATTTTGAATCACTATATAATTATGTTAACTTTGTATAGTTTCTTAGTCTAAACATGCAATATGTTAAACATACAGCCGTGTATTGAAGCAGTTCAAAAATATAAGTTGACCAGGCCTATATTTTAATGATTTCACTGTAATTTTTATTTTTAAATATACTATGCATGCACGTATGAACTTCGTGAGAATATTCATCCTAAAGAGAATGGTAGACAACTTGCGTTGGACGCTGGGAATTTCGCGTGTTCTTTTTTGTATTATCTCTAATTCATAATTTCCTCAGCTTAATTTTCTTTAATTTTATTCAATTCGTCATCTGTTACGAATGCCACGCTCGCATGAATACTGCATTGTTCATAGTTGTTCATGAAGCGTTATTAAAAATGCACAAGTCAATTAAGCTTTGATCATCGTTTGTACAGTCACAAGGATATCGTATTAAGTTTCTCTCTCAAGACCGAAATATGGCGGGATAATTTGCTATGGTAACATCTGGTAGGATCCCATAAAGTAATTTCGAGGTTCAGCAGTGTTTCTTTGATATACACATGTTAGCTGAATGTATGAAACGAATTTCTCCGTATATATATAAGTACTAACATGAATAAAGTATATTCTACTGAGCAATCATATATAACGCAAAGATACGCCGCTAGGTCACAGTGTGAGCAGATGCAAAAAGCTAGAAATTATGATCATTTACACAAAATGAGTTTTCTTCCATTTATATATAGATAAATAGAAACATCATTACATATTTACACAATAGGGAATATCGCTTCTATATTAACCATGTTCGTCAATCATATTTCATTTGGAAGAACATTTGCAACGAAAATTGAACCTGCGTTGTTTAAAAGAACACTTCATATTTTATATACCTACATACGTTTTAAGCCACTACTACGTAGTTTTCGTCATCTTATATGATCCTCGTGATATTTATAATTGAATTGAAACAACTGAGCTGTCCGCCATCTTGGGTGCATGTACACGTCACAACGACGTTACAGGGTCGACGTAAAATTTGAATTTAATCTAGACAGTGGTAGAAGCTATTTGATCGTTTGACGTCCAATGTCAAACCCCATATGTCTCTGACTAGATCGTCCAGTACCAATCCAATTCAATCCGCCGTTCACAAAGAAAGTTTGTCTAATGTTTTGCCTTTTGACTTCGATATAAATAATTATGATGGGGTTTTTTCAGTATAGTGATCCGCAATCAGTTTTATAGAGATATTTGTATAGATAGATATTATGACATTCGAAAATGTAGACGTCAATTTTCGCCATTTTGGTTTTATTCTGACTATTTGTCAAACATTGGAAGCTCTTGCACCAAAGCTGGTCAAAGTTGCAGTGGCCCTCGCTGTAGTATCCTCGCAGGAGCGTTGAAAAACGCGTCTTCGAAATCTTTGTATTCCGCCGCACCCTGGCTATCCTTTTTTGTCTAAAATGCAAATAAAGGGGAAAATTTAGTTACAATCGGAAAGCACAGTGTCAGGGTACGTTTCGATGTCGATGGAAGAACCGAGCAAGGCATAAAATAATTATTTTGTCATATTTATATCCGAATGCAGAACCATGCAAGATATACATTGCCTGAAAATGACCGCATTTATGCTTTTGATATTAAACTTATATAGATTCAGCTCGTTTCTTATAGCATAGAGGACTTGTTAACACTAACGGTAGCTTCGACCCCTCTTTAACCGTATCGTAGCGGGTCCTATATACCGTATTAAGTATATTCCTTTGTTGCAAAGTCGTATACGTTCTTTTAGTCAAGTGGCAAGGAAGCAATGACAGATATACCCCAGTCACTATACCTTTCCCTACGATACCGTTATAGAGTGGCTTAATGGAAATAAAGTGTTTTTGTTTAGAAATATATATAGCTAATGCACTTCGCTGTCTACTTAGCCGTAGCCTTAGGTCCGTCCGTCAACACTACTGAATAGTTATATTATTCGACATTTGTACGCTTAAAAAAGCTCAGCATGTCAACGGAAAATGCATCAATCGATTTTAAACCGATCTGCTGTTGAAAGTGAATACAAATTAAAATCGAAACCTCTATATTACAGTTATCGCATAATATACTGCTTTCATTTTAGAACGATAATGCAATCGATGTCTGCCATGTTGATTGCCGCTCACTTGCGTTTAATAAAAAGTCCGCTAGAGCGACAGCATCAGCAACAATATTGCCAAATTACTTATTGTTGCGGGTAAATTTTTATACAACCCCATTTTTGTCACTAAATACGGAAGACCGGTCACCGGCGTTAAAATCAGGCGTTCTATCTGACAGTCTTCCGGTCTAAGGAATCGATTTTGTGGACGAAAATAATTTGATTTAACCTATCGAACAAGCGCGTTATTTTGTTTTCACTGCGAGCGACGAAATACGCTACAAAGACCGTCTGGGAGCAGCCCGCTCGATGTTTTCTCGGTCTTACGAAAGGGCATATATACTTAAAAGTGATTAGTTTGGAGGAAGTCTTATTTTTCGCCATCATTTACAGGATATATTTATAATAATTTCCCTGCCGACTTGGAGCCCAGTCTTTGTGCCTCTATTTGCTTAATAATCCGAACAGCTACCGGCTGCTATTAGTTTTAATCAAAGTATTTAGTTCTATATCCTCTTTAAAGCCTATGTGACCGACAGATGTTTTTCTATAAATATGCAGACGCTATTCAATGCACAGCAATAGGGACTGAAATTGAATTTCTCACGCTGGCGAACGATCAACATAAATGCACCGTTCAGGCAATTTAAGACAGAAAACTATCCGAAATTCCCAACTTTTGAGACAAAGCTAGATGAATTATAGAGAAATAGATTCGGGCTCTGTTTGCGGTGCTGCGTTTGACATTATTTTATTGGATAGCATAGATGAATAAGCGATAATGTAAATTGTGTATTCATTAAAAGAACCATTAGCAATAGCCAATATGCATTTTATTTGCAGAACGAGCCACGCGACAAAGTATGCTTTGTGTGACTTGAAATAAGGAAGAATTATAGATTTTGCAACATTTGTAGAAATTTTCGTAAAACCAGAGTGTGTATGGCTTCAAATTGATCGTTTAATCCGAATCATTTAAACGAATATGTAATTTTGAGAACTAAAACTTTCAGCTACTCAAAAGAAAAAAACATTATTAATGAATGATAATCTTATGCAAAATCGACATGTATGAATATATTAGTTGGGGTCAGAGAGAGTAGTAAAACATTTTCTTATTTAAGTTAATACAAAATTTCACAAGGCTATATCCATCTTGAACGGTCGCGATTTCTTAGCAAATTAATAATTTTGTTTCTGTATCACACACAGTTGAGTTCAACAAAGAGAAAGCTATAATAATACAAGTTCATTTATTATTTATGCTAGTTTTACGAACACATTGCCGTATAACACTTGGACACATCTTCAGCCAAAACAAAAAGTAGATATATAATATGACGAATTCGTTCTTACTACAGCATCGACTACACGTCTAACCGTTATTAGAATTGAAAGTTGGGCTTTGGGGATTTTCGCCCGTTAATATAGATTTGACAGTGATCTGCGATTTTAATGACTGTTTCCTTGCTTATGACAAACATGAAAGATCGGCTTGATTCTAAATTTTTGAGAAGGCTATCTTTCAAACAAGAAATTTAAACGCTATATTACGCGCCTTGATCTCACTTTCTTGCAAGACATGAGAACTGGTAGAGTTCGAAGCACTCATTTGTATAAACTTTATTTAAGTTTTTATCCTTAAATTTTAGATTATCTTACGTACAAAGGTTTAAGGACTTTATGACATTGTTGTACGTTAAGGCTTTAGAGAATAATACGGGTTAAATGTTACAAAATACACTCGATATTATTCAATGCATTCCATTATAAATACTGAAACGGACTTGGAAAATAGACAAATTTTGCGCGTGATATTTTCGACTCGTTCGACTGATCTTACATTTAATTTTATCTTTTGACAATAAGTATACTTGCGATATTAATTCTCAGAACGACGAGGAAACGTGCATCAGCAAAACTGCTATATATATATAGGCAACAGTGATTAAAGGATTTGTGGTATATATATATATATATATATTCATATCATTTTTAAAGCATAAAAAGGGGCCTATTAGAAAAATGGCAGTATAGTAATGCATTAGAAGTTTGTGGGGCTGAATTCAGGATGTTTTTATTCACATCAAGTGCGCATTATGTTGTTACTTCGAAATATAATTTTTGCTTATTACGACTATTGAAGCCATTCGAAACGGGCAATAGATGATTTCAGATCGAAAATTTGAAGTAGAATATAATGTCTATATATCTAGGTCAATTAGGATAAAATGCTCACTACGAGAAGACCTATATATGTATGCTTTTGTATTAAAATAGCGAATAAAATGAAGTCATATAGCACTCTTACCAAGTCCAAATTGGGAAACCAATTATTCGGTCCGTTGACCGTAGTGCCTTGAAGGACGTCCAGTTTAGTAAAGTCGGACAATTGCAGACTGGAATTTTTACTTGCTTGACTTAATAATTGCTGCAGGTGGCGAATATACTCGATGGCACTCCGTAATGTCTTTACTTTGCTTAGCTTTTTATTTTTTGGATCAGTTGGGACGTGCTTTCGTAAACGAAGAAAGCCATCGTTCACTAATTTCACTCTCCTACGCTCTCTTGCGTTTCTTCGCGCAACAACTTCGGGTTCCTTTGTTTTAACAGTACTTCGCGCCGAGCTTGACCGTCTTCTCCGTGCGGCCGGTAGTAAAACAGGTGGATGCGATGTAAGTTCTTTTTTCGGCGCGTCTATTAGACTATCCATGGGTTTTTGATCAAACTCTGTTGAATCGGCGATAAGATTCTCGCTCTTCGCTTCAATAATTTCGGGCATTTTTGTTTTGTTGTGAGTTTGACAGGAAAAGTGGACGAAAATACAATCTAATTATATGCGGTGTCCATACCGAATACGTAACGCGTCTGTTGTTCTAGCTCGATGCTGATTGGCTGTGAGATCATACAGCGGTTAGGTGTGATTAATAAACATTCATGCATGTGGATAAATGAAGACGAGTTTGGGTTTTGGTCGAGGGTCGAGGGTCGAGGGTAGTAAGTCGAGGGTCGAGAGTGAGGTCGAGGGTAAAGTCGAGGGTCGATTTTTATCGCATTTTACAATCGGCAATGTCGAGGGTGAAGTCGAGGGTCAATTGTAGAAATTCACAATTTGCCTATACTAATATTGTATTGTTAATAATATTAATATTATATTATTAATATTATTATTGCTAATATTTTCTTCTACGCAATATGCGATACAGCGCAAGCTATACAAATTATATGTATAAGTATACATACAGATTGCAGTTGCAATTTATGAATCTTTGGGCATTATATTTTACAAGTCAGACTTCCAAAACGGGTTAAACTTATTAATTAATTCTCTTGCATGAACATCTTCCCATCTTGCGGTCTCACTTTTTTGTTTTTTGATTCCTGTGTCTTAATAATATCCGAGTTGTCACCTCGAATTGCCGACATAGTGGTGAGACGATGTGCCATGTGGTGTCGGTTTTCACTTTACTGAACTCTTGGCTTGGTAAATACAGCTTTCTATCCGCTAGCGAATATTTCTACTCGAATCTTTGTTGGACTAAAGATAAATATGCCGAAGAAATTGTATAGCGAAATTGTGTCCGGGCGTTGTAGTAAAAACGAGATTAAGACAGAAAATTCAAATAGTAGCCGGCAGCCAAACTGGCTAAGAGCATTTCAGCACGAGGACGAAGAAGTCGCCCTTCGAATGGCATTGTCATTAAGCAAGGTATGGTTGTATAACATAACTTTGACTCGTTAAAGCATCGATCTGAAGATGTAAATAGACTCACTGTGCTAATCAGACACTAAATTTCTTTCGCGTGTAACGCATACAGGAAAAACAATTAAACGACCCAGGCGCAGGACCCTCCAAGGAACTGAAGGAAGAAACTCCAGTTACAATAATCATTGTAAGTATGGAACAATATGTATTTCAATTGTAAGCAATCACAAGAATAATGTAGAATTATTAAAATAGGTCGACACAAGACACAAATTGAAAGCTAACAGATATATAGGCAAAAGCTGGTTTTATCATCAATGCGAAAATACTTCACGCGCACATGCATTCATGATGAGTTATAGTGAATAGACATTGAAGTTCGATTTAAATCAGCAAGGATGGTGTTTCTTGAGTATTTATGTAGATAAACGGACCTGTGTTAGTGTGTATTTGATATATTTCGATACGCGCTATTGCAAAACAGTGGCCAATGTGGCATTTACAATAGTGCAGTATCATATTACTGTTTATGGTTTGCAGGAATATATCGCATAGCATACACCAATATTATCAGTAACAAAATAAGGACATCATATCATTGCCTTCTTTTACTGAAAGACTAAGCAGTTTTTTAAGTTCTTCAAGATCGTCTTACGTAGGACTTTGTGGCACAAAGGACTATGCGGCACAACATATACATGCTTATACAGATTTCCTGATGATGACTAAATAAAGTCGAAACGTTGAATGAAAATGCTTACTTTATTCGGAGTTACTATTGTTGTGTATATTATACAGTATATGGCATATATTTATACTACATTATATCGCTGTCTGACGGGCTAAGAGTAATTAGAATTTTCTAGGCATTCCTTGAATATATGTTAGTTAACAGAATTAACTTCCATTTCAAAATGAAATGATTTGGTTCACCGCATCAAGCTCGAAAATTAGAACATCGGTACTCGTTATGACGTCACATCAGCAAACATGGCGGCTATAAAAGTTCGCATCTGATACCGAGGTTTGAGGGCAAAATTACTCAACTTCTACTTAACACACAAAAGTCATATATACATCAAACCTTTCCTAAAAGACTGAATATTTGTTTAGGCTAATAAAAATGAGGTGAAAATTTCGTTTCAGTAGCACTTTAACATATACGCCAACACTTTATATAATCGTTTTCTAAAGTAGGGTGGTTATGGCACTAAACAATGTTATGTAACATGCAGGTCACGAGTTTTTATTTTTCAATCTTTCTATGGTTAAACTCTATGAAATCTCAGATTTTGACATTTCGGGCACTCTATCAATCACGAAAGCTTCGGCAATAAGTAGATGTATATGTATAATAAGTAGATTGCCGCGTGGTACTTATTTGCTATGAAAGTATCAAAACAGCAGAAATATAGTTATATTAATCATTTGTGTGTTAACATAACCGTCATTTAATAGAATAAAAATTAAAAATGAAATAGAATATACAATATAAATGAATGTATACTAAATAAAATATATATTACTACATTACATTATATACATTACAACCTGAGTTTTCTTTATAGAGCGATGATAGTACTACTGAAGGTGAAGAAAACGAAACGGGGGCCCAAAGCCCATCTATCTTAGATTTTTCGGCCTTCAGGGATGTTACAATCTCAAGTGGTCACAAAAGTTGTCATAACAAGGTATGGAATGGTCTAAATGATCTAGTTAACACTACAGGGTGTATAAAAAAACTGCAACCACTTAATATTCATATATATTCGCTTCTATCCATTCACAAAATTTCATAGGCCCATGGGATTAAGGTTGCGCTTTTTTGATACAACCTGTATATGTAACGATAATCTAAATAGGAAACATATTTCTTCAGAAATGAGATCGCTTCTTCTTAAACAATTATCTCATCGGTATAAAAGCAGCTAACTTTCCATTAGCCAATCCTTGTAGTACTGATACTCCTGCACCCAGAGCAACTTCCCCCTAGCCGTTATGTAGAGTTTCTGCCTGACATTTAGCAAAACCAATCAATATCAAATCGATTACATATGGTTAACACCTTCGTCCACCTTACCCGATTGCATGGTTAGGCGTTAGCTCTGTCGATCGCGGGAGGGGGGGCTTGGTACTGTTACTTGGAGCCAGGTTGAGATCCGCATCTTAAGCTGAACAATTTCCCTCCCCCTAAATTCCCTCTGCTCCGTGATTTGCCACTCGCCTATCCCATTCAGTCACGTGGTTTTCCTGACGTCACGACCCGACGTCACTAAACATGTTTCCTCGCTGTTAATCTTGGTTATTACATAACCCCATTTTTCGTGATTTAAGACACAGCGTACTAGAAGAAGATCTCCAGAGTTCGAATCTTGGGATGAGGAAGACTACAATCCTGGTATTCCTGTCCTACCATTAAGCAAAATAGCTTATAAAGTTCCTTCCGCTGAGCCATCTATACGTGTCAGTGAAAATTTGGAAGATGACAACGATATCGTAGAAAAGCAGACGTTTGAGTCGAGTGACGAGTCATCAGTTAAGAAGGACAATAACCATGTCGTGAAGGACGGGCAAGATAAAAACAAAAGGAAAAGAAGAAAAAGGTAGTTAACTCACTATTTTTGATTAATTCTCTTGGATATATTCAAAAATTTTAAAAAATTAGCATTAGACCGTGCTCACGTAGAACCGGTCAAATTTTCATTCGTTTTAACCTTGTGAACACATGAACCGGACGAATTCAAGCACGGTTCCAAATATGTCCGGTCCCGTGTGAACGTAGCGTTAATCGCCACTTATGTATATGTATCCTGAGCGGGACACTCGAGTTAACAATCGAGCGGAGCACTAACGGAATGATTTATTTATGTGTATGTTACCAGAAGCCGGAAGACGGTGTCCACATCTTCAACTGAATGCAGTGACCGCACCAGCGACAGCGATATTAGTAGCTGCAGTGAAACCTTTCCAAAACAGAGAAAAATTGCCGTAGATTTATGGGAGAACGTTGAAAAGAAGCTCGTGGAGAAACTGCCTGTTGATATTAATGGTCTTTCCGCTTTTAAGATCAAAGAACTCTCCACAAAAAAGAAAATGGTATCGGCTTTAGTCGACGGCAGGAAATGGAAAAAAAATTGTCCGACGAACTGGGCTGGCCATTCCCGTGTGCGGTACGCGGACTGCAAAGGCTCGTTCAAATGCATCGAACCAAGATGTCCTTACAAGGTGCAGTATGGGATCGTGAATACGAAGCAGTTCGATAACTCGAGAGACGGTAATGCCAAATGCCGAGTTTGTGGAAAAAAGGCAGAACATGTTCCATGTAAGGCTCGAAGATATATAAGTTATGGACAAACAAGTGTCACTGTATTTCATTATGGTCAGCACACTTGTCCTGTTATACCACCACGGACTCAAGAAAGACCAGATATTTCCCAAATGTTAAAGGATAACCCGAAGATAACACCGGCAGAGTTGCAGTCTGCATGTATATTGGCTGCAGTACGACAAGAGTGCGATTGGAAAGAGGTTGAAAAACAAGCACAAGCAACATTGGATAAAAACTGGATTTCAAATGAGAAAAAAAGGATGAAGAAAGAAACTGAGCCTTTAGGACACAATTTCGAGGCTGTGGTAACATTCAAGGAGTACTGCGACAAAAAAGATGAATTTTATATATACAAGGTAAATGACAAACGCGGTAATCCGGATAAACCTTCGTTTGTTTTTAAGACAAGCAAAGAAAAACTCAAAATGGCATTGGCTATGGATCAAGAGGGTGAACACTTTTTAAGTGAGGAATTTTGCTTCTTCGATGGGAAGCACAAACGTTGTCGTGGGTTCATAACATTAACAGCCAGCGTTTACCACCCTCTACTGCGCAAACAAGTGAGCCTTGCTACAATGGAAGCCGAAAATGAGGACACAGAAAACATAACTTTGTTCTGGAACCTCTTCAACGAAGCGTTAAAGAAGGTTTCGGAAAGTGACGATACACAGTTTAATCCCGCGGGGTGGTGCACCGATATGGCAGGCGCGAATCTAGCTGGGCTTACAGCAGTATATGGTAGGGACGTGCTGAGACGGATAAAGTCGTGCGAATTCCATTTTAAAGACCATAGGAATAAAAAGGCTCAAAAGTTAAGTCCAGATAGCGCGGAAGAGTTTAAAGAATTGTGTGACGAAATTATGCAATCCGTCACAGAGGCCCGTTACAACAGTGTCAAGGTAAGATTTGATTCATTTATTTCAAGCAAGGAGGAACATAAGTTTTTAAAAACTTGGTTAGCATGGTGGCACGATAGGAGGGGGTTTATTTTCCGTGCTTTTGCCCCTCAAAATGCACCTCGAATGAACCAAGCTGAGGTGATTCACGCTGGCTGGTCCCACAAAGACTCGCCGAACATGTCGCTACTTGAGGTCTGTCAAGCAGACATTAGAGACTCTTTAACTCTCGATGTTCAGCTGAAAGAATTTGAAGCGGGAACATCGACAGGAGGAAGTGGACCATCTTATTCCCAAAGGAAACAACGGGAGTACGTACGCGAAATCAATCAAGCCAAACGGTTTGGAGAAGAAATACTGCTTAATGAGCAGAATTCAAATGGAGGTCGAAAGGTTGATCCGAAGTCTTCTTTCAAACCAGCCGATAAACCAAAAACGGGGAAAAAGACAAAGAGACAAGTAAGCGTTTCCAACAGCACCCCCCAAGTGACAACTAGTGATAGCGTCGTGTCCAACTCATCAAATTTATTTGCGAACGGATTGCAAATTGAGCGGATGCAATTCCCTCCAACATATCCTGTGGGTGGCATTCACTCCCATTGTAGTAATTTGTTCACCCCTGTACCTTTACCTCCTCTTCCTGTACCGCCTCCTACGATTTCGTACCCCCCAAACACCTGGCATGCAGGTATGTCGCCACATCCATACGAGATTTTGTTTCTGCCTAATAATGTCAGAAAATGTTACGGTTGTGGGAGTGACTTCACCGTCAAATACAGAAATTCGCCTTTCAATGTTGTGGTAAAGCATGTTGACCGGAGAGTCATTCGAAAATGCGAGCAAACGGGGCAGTTAATTTATAGTCAGGACTATAGTAACACGTATTATCATTTGTCTTCATTACATATAGTAAGGAAAAATCCAGTTTTTAGCGGCGTTGCCACAATTTCTAATTCAATTTTATCGGCACTAGATGCAGGGCAAAGGGAAATCCTCAATCAGTGTGACATTCAAATTGTATCAAGTTTCTAGGTTTTCAAGATTATGACTAGATTTTGACTAACGACGTATTTCGACCCTCGACCAAAACTTCTTTTACAAAAGTTCGTTATTAAATAGATTCATTACTAATAAGTAAATTGTAGGTGCATCGCGTACGTATTTAATACTGCAAAGCATGGCGAGCTACAGCAGACTTATCCAGTTTACCTTCTCGCAGTTCGTCGTATGTTCTTCTAGACGTATTAAGAGAGAGTTTTAAGCTTTGCTTTTAAGCTTTTTAAGCTTTAAGTTTTAATTATCTTTGCAGTATAAAATATTTACGTGGTATACCTACAAGCTAATTTTATATCACTATGCAAACGTACAAGAATATTGTTATAAAAAAATTATGTTGTATTGTACATATTGTACTATGCCTGCATTTCAGTTTGAAAAACAAGCATCACAAGCCGTAACGCGTAAATAGCAATGCGAAAATAACAAATATACCATACTCTTCCTATGGCTATTTTACTCTTTCCAGTGTAACATGCAACTGTTTGCAGAAGCGGTGAGCTGCCTGCATGCGTTGTTCACATGCAACTGTCAATTCACTTATAATAGTTTCGGACAACAGGGCGGAAAATATACGCTCGACATTGCCGATTGCAAAATGCGATAAAAATTGACCCTCGACTTCACCCTCGACTTTACCCTCGACCTCACTCTCGACCCTCGACTTACTACCCTCGACCCTCGACCCTCGACCAAAACCCAAACTCAATGAAGACCGCTTAAATATGCAGTAGTTAATTTACACCTTTGCCACAATTAATACTAAGGATGGCGCGTGGAATTCAATGTCTTGCGCTATTGGATATCTCTTCAAAACAATTTTCCTAAAATCTGTAAAACGTTTTGACACTGGAGACGGGTAACAAACCTATACCAATCTTTGTAAAGCTCTTTCATAGAATAGTTTATAATTTTAAGCTGTAGAGTGATAACTATATCTGTATTATACCGGAGGAAAACAATTATTTACAAATCTATACAGTCGAAACTTTCCAGCTTCAGTAGAAACCGCACAGTCACTGTCACAGTTACTGTCTCGGTGTTACCACAAGAAGAAATCTGGGGCCGGTTGTATGAAATCCAGATAGCGCAATCCACCGGATAGTGGATTTTCCAATAGCTTTCAAATTGCCCGTTGTTGGCTGAAACTTTGATTAAACCTTAGCATTCCTAAATTGAGGATCCTCTTTAGTAATTATTGCTCCCAAAGCTAAAATTTTATTGCTTTTCAAGCATTTTTAGAAAGGTTATTTTAGAAACGCTAACCAGCCTTCGTACAACCGGCCCCAGAACACAGCGGACGTAACTCCTCTGTTATTACTCCTCTTAAGTATTAAAAATAGTAGCGCAGGGTTATATTAAAAAAAGCCATATTTGTCCATGTACATTCGCATCTTGACATGCAATTTCGTTCAAATACCGGCCATATTGTGGCCTATGAAACTTTTGCCGAACATTGCTTTCTTCGGGAGACATACATATAGCGACACGAAATGTAATCATCTTTCAATGTGAATACGATCAGCAGGATTCTGAATACCAGGGCATCATAGTATTGATGCTTTGTCCGTAAACAAAGCTCTAAGATTATCATTATAGCTGCCAAGTTTGTGCGAAAGAGTTTATAATTTTACTCGCACGATAAAAGTACGTTTCGATACGGCAGATTTCGTAAAAGCTGGGTGCACAAATGTAATTTTTTGCCTGTTGTAATTATGCCGTTAACGAATATCTCATACGTGTTTTTCTAATGAATTGGGTTAGTCTAAACTTTTCAGCGGAATTTTCCTGTATCCCAGTGTCCCATCTCAACAATATGTCGCAATTAGTAGCCATTCTCCCAAGGGAAAATCATGACCTCAAAACATGCCCTCGCAATGTCACACTGTTTGCAACAAAGACAATTTTATTTAACAATGTTCTAGTGTTAATTTGAAAACAGCGCCTCACAGCACGGTATTTTCAGACGCGTGTTGTTTATAAAAGGATGACGTCAAGCGCGACGGGCAGCGTATGTCTTGGCAGAAATTTATTTCAGTTTACTGTTACGATAGTTTTATTCAAATTCGTGTGTAACAGAACAGCAGCAAAAAAGGCATAGTTAAGAAAAAGTTATATACTGACGTCAGGCGTTGTATGAGCTCACGGAAATATTTTTCCCGTGTTATCAGCTTTTTTTTAAATGAAACAATAACAATTTCGTCAGTACTGTCATTTAACGTCAAGACATCTTTCGTTTTAATATCAGTTATTACTACACGAGTGAAGACCTATATACCCCTAGATACCCCATACTCAAACATGCTTCATGTGGTGGGGATAGGCATAAATAATTTTACTGTAAATCAATGCTTTGCAGATGTTGTGAAGCATTAAACTCGAAAGAAGAAAATGAGATAAAATGTGGTGATTAAATCTTCTGGGAAACTGCTGCTCCATAACAAATGGACTAGAATTATTCTCTTTTTGTTTAAAATGTATTAATAGAAACCAACCTGGCTAACAGCATATGTTATATGGAAAGTTTTCAAATAAACTCTTTGGTTGAGACTACATAATTTTCATCCCATCGTTTTTGCATTGAAATTTTTGTTAGAAAGCTTGGTCCCCACGCCTTCTGAGCAAATTTCTGAGTTGGTAGGCCTGATTGTGATTGTGTGTCCAAGACGAAATGGGTCGGTCTTAGATTCCTTGATGAGAACGGTCATGAATTGTGAGCATTGTGTCCCGGTTTGTATAGCGAAAAAGTGTTCCTATCGCGGTTCACAATCGGATTAATTAAAGGCTGCTGCTTTCCACTGTCGCGTTTTTTTGCACGTACGTACACGCGCGTAAAAGCTTAAAACTTTCTCATTGCACGTGAGCTCGCCGAGCCGCAAAAACCCGAAAAATACTAACGTTAGTATAGATCGTAGATCGGTAGATCATCAAAGTGGAAAAGTTTAAAAATGGTGAACTGATGCATAGATTGTATGGATTATACGTATTCTGTGCCTACAGTAAAATCTATGCAGGGGAAACACTCAGGCGATGCATACACCCCACACTGGGCTCATGCTAATCGAAGAATATTTTTCAGCTCAATTTTGAAACCTCTTAACTCGGCCCCGGCAATAGCTTTTTTAAGATAGTTTACATCTGCCTCTTTCAGTAAGCCGCTAGATCACAGCACAATGCTACGGTGAAGCCCGTAATCGCATTTGTTATTAATTCCTCTCAATGAAAGGAGCTAGAGTTTGTGTCAAGAAAAAATAGAAACGAGAATATAAGTCAACTAGATCTATATGCCATAATTTTATAGGAACAGAATAGAACGACAAAAAACGACGCGATTTTTACAAAACTCGACTCTCCGACATAATGGACAAACTTTTGTCGCAAAACAGAGTACGTGCACCAACGTTATATACATACGGTCAATATATATATATATATATATATATATATATATATATATATATATATACCAAAAAAAGTTTACAGTTAGAAAAACGTCGCTAAATTAATCAGGGCGCATGCTTGGTAAAACCTTTGGTGGAAATAAGTTGTTTGACGTCCATTGGTTTATCTGACAGCGATATTGTCTCAAAAAAGAACCATTTGTAGAGTGAGAATTTTGCTAGCGAAAAGCACTTTTGAATGAGCTTGCGCCAAAAAATGACACGTTTAAAATGCAATCTGATTACATGGGGGGGGGGGGGGAAATATGGAACATGTTGTTTTAACTAACAAAGTCTCAAAGCATTTGGTCAATACCAACGCGAACGTACAGCCGCCAAATCTTAGATTATTTTCTCTTTTTCGTTTTAAAATGTCATTTTTAAAGCCTCATTAATTATGCATTGTCATGTCTTTGCACGCTAAGATTTTTGCCTAAATTATATATATATATATATATATATATATATATATATATATATATATATATATATATATATATATATATATATATATTATATATATTATATATATATATATATATATACGACAAAATGAATGCATGTATTATGCAGTAAATTATGAAAATAGTAAATCGTGTTGATTTGGCCTCATGCAGTTCAACAACAAAAGAATACAATGTTGTGATATAGAGAGATTTGAAATGTCCAAATCCTAATAATATTTTTTCTTCATGATCGAAGCTCGTCGTCGCTAGTCTCTGTGGACAATTTCTGTATTTTGGTGTAGTCTCAGGGAACAAAAGAATCTTTCAGCGCTTCGTGAGCATAAGGTCTATCATCAATCTTGTGACGAATCAGCCACGAAACAAACTTTCGGGCTCTACGAACACCAAGTTTCTTCAAATTGACAGAGTTTCCTTTCAAAATATTTTTCATTCGATCTAACGAAGAACCGAAAGGGTGGTCACCTTTAGTCAAGATGAAGAAAGCAATCATACCCGCGACCTGGACATCTGATTTCTTTTTGAAAGGACCCTTTTCTGTTTTGTCTATAGCTTCAATTACCTCCCGCGCCATCCATCCGGGAGTACCTTTAGCAAATGTTTCAACTGTCGTTTCATCGTCATTAAGAACGCGGCTTATTCCAAAATCCGCTAATTTCATGCGACCTTCGATATCAACCAGAACGTTTGATGGTTTTAGATCTCTGTGCAATATTCCTTTACCATGAAGAAATTCAAGTCCGGATAGAATTTCCTTAATCATTCGTGGACCATGCTCTTGCAGATGTTCAAAACTACATTCATGAACATGTTTCCTTAAGTTTTCTTCGCAAAGTTCAACAACAAGGTACATGAATGTATCGTCACGGTGAAAATGTCGATAGTTCACAATATATGGAGAGTTGTCTGTTTTAATAAGAGCCATGATTTCCTTTTCGTTTTCAACTGTTTTATCGTCACTTTGTACCAAAATTCTCTTAACTGCTACTTCGTTGCCATCTTTCATAAGACCAACATAGACGCAAGAATAGCCACCATCGCCAATTTTGAATTGATTGTTTGCGACAAAAGCCTGCATGGGTATTTCAATCTATGGGAGAAACTACATAAATTACTAATGGCGAGAAGAAAAAAGCAACAAAACATCTGGGCGTATAAAAAAGGGAGACAAGAGTTAAATCTTATTGGTTACTTAAGGGTTAGAGACTGTTGTGAGTCTATTGTTCACAAATAAACGCACGCGCTGACCATACAATGAACGAGAAATTTCAATACTGATTAAATGTTATCATACAATGATTTGAGTTCATTGTATGATCAGCAAGTGCGTTTGTTTGTAAACAAAACAAGAGCATAAAGTCTGACACTTTTAACATACAATCTGAGTTCATTGATTGCTGCATCGAAGATCCACGCTTCGTTGCATGCTGTCATTTTTCAATAAACCATGATTTTCATGGGTTATTTTGAATAAACCACGATCTTCATGGGTTATTGCAAATAAATTATGATTCCCATGATCTGTCGCCAGGCAACAAGAAACACGTAATTTTGATTTAGGCCAATCTTAATAAATGTCATACGTTATGGCATGTTATAATGTTATACCATATTTGTCTAAATTTTTACCACATTTTCAAAATCTTGAAGCAAAGAGATATAATTCGAATAATTATCTTGTATAGGTTGTACACACCCGGTTTCAAAATGTCTCTTGTGCGGCTATTTGTATATACCCATGTCAATGGTTCATTACGGATGTGAGTGGAAATAATCGTAATTTTAGTTATTTGGATCGCAGTCTGGTAACGAGTTAAATTATGTTACCCACCACTAACGATGCGACGTCATAGATTTTAAACATTCTATTAACCTTGGTTAGTACACAAACTCATAACAGTACAAACTCATACATGTTTGAAATAATTATTACCTTTTCCAACTGGTTGCATTTCATTGTTTTCAACATCTGAATTTTCTCACGATGTTTTACAGAACTTTTGAGGATAGTTGTAATTTCATCATGGCCAAGATGAAAACTCCATTCAAGAAGACTCATTTGCCTTCCTTCAACAAGAAATGTTCCAGCTCTCAATACAACAATGTTCCTTTGCAACAGGAGATTTACCAAAACAACTGAATTTTTCACAACAGCCATCTTCAAGATGTCAATGCCAAGAGTATGAACGTTTATTTTACTTTTTAGAGTTATGTCAGCACCCTGTTCAACTAAGTACTTGACAATTTCTAATGCACCAGCATCGACAGCAGCGTGCAGCACTGTCCATCCATCACCATCCTCGCCATTTACATCGGCACCCTGCTCGACAAAATATCTCACCATGTCTAATTTACCAACTCTAACAGCACGATCCAGAACTTTCCACTCGGCAGCTGTGCCCTGTCCAACTAAATATTTGACAATGTCTAGTTCACCAGCCTCAACAGCAGCTTCCAGAGCTGTCATTCCGGCCGTATCCTTGCCATTTACATCAGCACCTTTTTCAACAAGATATTTTACTATTTCTAGCGTACCTTTAGTAACAGCAGAGTGCAGCACTGTCCAACCGTTAGTGTTCTTGCCATTTACATCAGCGCCCATTTCAACAAGATATTCCACCATTTCGTGCGTACCTTTGGTAACAGTAGCGTGCAGCACAGTCCATCCGTTAGTCATCTTACTGTTCACATCAGCGCCCTTTTCAACAAGATTTCTTACCATTTCTAGTTTACCTTTAGTAACAGCAGCGTGCAAAACTGTCCACCCGCTGGCCATCTTGCCACTTACTTCAGCGCCCTTTTCAACAAGATATTTTACCATTTCTGGAGACCCATCCGTAACAGCAGCGTGCAGCACTGTCCACCTATATATATCTTTGCCATTTACACCAGCGCCCTTTTTAATAAGATATTTTACCATTTCTAGCGTACCTTTAGTAACAGCAGCGTGCAGCACTGTCCACCCGCTAGTCATCTTGCCATTTACATCAGCTCCCTTTTCAACAAGATTTCTCACCATTTCTAGTGTACCTTTAGTAACAGCAGCGTGCAGCACTGTCCACTCGTAACTATCTTCGCCGTTGACATCAGCGCCCATTTCAACAAGATATTCTACCATTTCTTGCGTACCACTAGCAACAGCAGCGTGGAGCACTGCCCGCCCGTAAGAATCTTTGAAATTAACATTAGCGCCCTTTTTAACAAGATATTTCACCATTTCTAGCGTACTACGTTTACTAACAGCAGCGTGCAGCACTGTCCTTCCGTAACTATCTTCGCCATTTACATCGGCGCTCATTTCAATAAGATATTTTGCCATTTCTATCTTACCTTTATGAACAGCATGGTGCAGCACTGTCCACCCGTAACTATCTTCACCATTTACATCAGCGCCCTTTTTAACAAGATATTCCACCATTTCCAGCGTACCTTTAATAACTGCATAGTGTAACACTGTCCACCCGTTAGTCTTCTTGCCATTTACATCAGCGCCCTGTTGAACAAGAAATTTTACCATCTCTAGCGTACCTTTAGTAACAGCAGCCTGCAGCACTGTCCACCCGTTAGTATCATGGCCATTTACATCACCACCCTTTTCAACGAAATATTTAACCATTTCTGGCGTACCATTAGTAACAGCAGCATGCAGCACTGTCCGCCCGTGAGTATTTTCGCCATTTACATCAGCGCCCATTTCGACAAGGTATTTCACTATTTCCAGCATTCCTGTAGTAACAGCATAGCTCAGCACCGTCCACCCTTTAGTATTTTCACCATTTATTCTAGAGCCCTGTTCAACAAGATATTTCACCACTTCTAGCGTACCTTCAGTAACAGCAGTGTGCAGCACTGTCCACCCGTCAGTGTCCTTGCCATTTACATCAGCGCCATGTTCAACAAGATATTTTACTATTTCTAACGTACATTTAGAAACAGCACTGTGCAGCAATGTCCAGCCGTCAGTATTGCTGCTATTCACATTAGATCCCTGTTGAACAAGATATTTTATCATTCCTAGCCTACCTTCAGAAACAGCAGTGTACAGCACTGTCCACCCGTCAGTGTCCTTGACATTAACATCAGCGCCCTGTTCTACTAAGTAGATGACAATGTCTGTTACACCAACGTGAACTGCATAATGTAAAGCAGTTTTGCCTGACCTATCTTTAAAATTTATATCAGCACCACAATCATCAACGAAATATTTCACAATTTCTAACGATGAAGACTGTATTGCCTTTTGAAGAGCTATGTAATCGTCTCGAAAATTATGTTCAGGGCCATATTGAACAAAATACTTAACAAGATCAAATAAACCATTTTTCGTCGCCATCCAAAAAACTGTTTCACCATCTTGGTTCTTGGAATAAATGTCTGCCCCATGTTCAACTAAATAATTGACAATTTTTTTATCAACTGGGCTGAACTGAAAAGCGCGCCAAAGAATTGTCCTCTTCCAACGATCTTCTTTGTTTTCACCACATTCAACTTGCTTTCTTATTTCGTCCCAAAATTGTAGTTTTTCTTCTTCGCAGACATTCATACTTCCACTTGTCTTTTTCTTCTTTTCAATACCTGCATTTGCAACACAAAGATAAATCGTAAACACCAGGAACCCGCCGAACGAACTTCAGGGAGGGGGGAGAGCGAATGTTCAGAGATTCCTCAACATTTTATCGACTGACTTTTAATCCCTGTTCATGCACACGGTACCTGATTACTATCACTGCAGGTCAAATTTTGAAGTTAATGAAAGATTTTAGTTTTCATGTTAAAGCCCTGAATAAATATACCAATTCTATCAAATTAATTAAGCATTCATTAATAATCGTTGCTGTATAACGGCAAACGAAGATGTCGCGATAAAGGGATCCGGTACCGGCGTGTGAACGTGCTAAGTCCTCCTTAGCACTTCTTAGCCTTCCTTAACATTCCTTTTTCCTCCTTAGACCTCCTTAGTCCCCTTATGCCTCCTTAGTCCGCCTTAGCCCCTCTTACCCCTCATTCGATCTCCTTAGCTCTCCTTAGTCCTCCTTAGCCCTCCTTAGACCAACTTAGTCCTCGTTAGCCGTCTTTACATCTCCTTAGACCTGCTTAAGCTTCTTAAGTAGGCTTCCTTAAGGTTTCTTACATCTCCTTATCTCTCCTTAGACCTCCTTAGCCTTACATCTCATTAGACTGCCTTAATAAGTCCTCCTTAGTCCTCCTTAACCCTCCCTAGGCTTCCTTAAGGTTCCTTCCATCTCCTTAGCCCTCCTTAGTCATCCTTAACCCTCCTTAGCCGTCCTTACATCTTCTTAGACCTCCTTAGGGAGGGCTAAAGGGGATTAAGGAGGACTAAGGGGCTGTTTATATGAGAGCTGGGTTGGCCCGCTTAGCAAGACAGCCCGGCTTGAGAGATCTCGCCATGAGTACATTGCCTAATAAAGGCTTCTGTGCGCTAATATGGCCAGGCGGGTTGGCCCGCTTGGCGAGATACCGCTTGAAAGAGGGTATATAACTACCTCAAAGCCCTAAGAAGCCATTTTAAATAAACACTTGTTACTAAGTTGGCTGCCTTGGGACAGTTTTGATCTATGCTCGTGCGTGATATTTTGGTGATGTGCCGCGAGACTTTTGTTTGTGCCGTGAGACTTTAGTTTGTGCCGTAAGATTTTTGTTTGTTCCGTGAGACTTTAGTTTGTGCCGTGAGACTTTTGTTTGTGCCGTGAGACTTTAGTTTGTGCCGTAAGATTTTTGTTTGTGCCGTGAGACTTTTGTTTGCTCCGATGCACGGCGGGCGACCGTCGGGGTAAGAAATTAAGACTTCCGTGAGGCCAAAAAGTGAAGCCAGATTAGGCGGAAATTGAAGCGCTATAATAATTATAGTACGTCAGTTTCAGTCTCCTGCGCCTTTAGGCCCTTAACTTTGTTGAACACAGTATAGGTTACAAAATACACAACAATAGTAACTCCGAAAAAAGTAAGCATTTTGATTCAACGTTTCGACTTTATTTAGTCATCATCAGGAATGATGAATAATGAATGATTCATCATTCCTGATGATGACTAAATAAAGTCGAAACGTTGAATCAAAATGCTTACTTTATTCGGAGTTACTATTGTTGTGTATTTTATCAAAATATTCAGTGGTTCCCGCAATTATAGTAGGTCACGTTTATCATTTTTTTTTCGTATGAAAACAAGTATATATACAAGGCAGAATAGACTTCTGAGACAGTTTAATTATATGTTTATAAAGTTCACATCAAATATATACACAGTTCGCAAGAAACAATTCTTGGAATGAACAGTTTTAACGTTTTTACTTTTTTAGCATTGTTTTGGTAAGGTGAAGTCTTGGTTGGCCAAAGTTGATCACTGCCTAGACACCATCTGTAGTCTGCACTTGACATTTAATTGTTGAATGCTGGTTGATAAAAGGGAGGTAGTAATTCAGGCTTCTCTTCACGAAAATAGTTGGCTACTTGCCAGACAATTCTTATTTAGCCAAATGTATTATTTGACAAGTAGCCGAAGCAAAGACGTACTCTGAATACTGGATTGTGTTGATTACAAACAATCACGGAATGTGACGAAATCTATTCTGCACTTGTTTTCATGAACCAAAATTATAAGCATGACCTGTTGTGGTCAACAAAGTTAAATTCACAGTGTTTATGTTATATTTTGACATAGGTAATTGGAACCATATTGTAGTTCTTATATAGTTATAAGTTAATTTGTAACAATTGTCTGAATTAAACCAACTAGAGAAAAAGGTTAGGACGTTGTGTATATGTGGGCAAAAGAAGAACATAATAAGTAATTTGTTGAATAGTTAATTTCGGATTAAGGGGTGTAGAAATAGAAATAAATGTTCCGTTTGTTGTAATTGTTTGTATCTGTGTTAAGTTTTAGTTGTTTTTTTTGTCATTTGGGGTGTGTGGGTTTGTTGCATCTTAGAAAATCCAGGATTTGTTGTTGGGTGTTGTAGTTCTAGTGAGATGGAATGTTTATGAGAGGTGCTGATTGTTGCTCATTGTTGTTTGGTTGATGGGTTTGGTGTCTGTTGTTATTGGGTTGTCGATAGTGGGTTGGTATTCAAAGTTGTGGTGTTCTTGTTACTGTTCTTGTGCTAGTTGTTCCGGGTTTATGGTGGTGTGGGTTTGCATGAGGGGTTTTGGTTTGTGTCTGTTGGTTGGTGTGTGTGTGGGTTTGTTGGTTGGTTGGCTGGTTATTGTTCTGTATGGTGCCCTATGGGGTGAGGAGGTTGTTGGAGTGATTCTAGTCTTTGTGTTGTTAAGTCGTTTAAGTTTTATGTTGCGATTGTGGGATGGTGCTAGGCAGGCTTGTTTTGTGTATTTGGTTGCAATGGCGTCGGTTTGTTGTACGTATGTTGTTGGCAGTCGTTGTGTCACATTTGTTGTTTATTTGTGCAGTTTTATGTTGTATTTTAAACTCTGTGTTTGTTATTTCCTGTTTGTGATAGTCAATGGTTACAGTAAGTATAGTTCTTGTGAGGCATTCATTAAGATGTCCTCCCGTCTTTGTCAAGTGTGCATTTGAGTTGGTTTTCTGTGTGCTAATAATGCGGAATGTTTCCAGGAGGTGTGGTGGTATGTTGTTGGGGTTAGGAATGGATTGTGGTTTGTCATTGTGTGGTGTGGTGTTGGTTGTGATTTGGGGGTTAATTGTGATTTGAGGTGTGCTGTTTGTCTCTGGGTTTTCGTCTTCTGTGCTTAAAAGTTTTTGTTTTTCCTTATGTAGGCCTTCTATTATTGAATCAGTTTCCTGATCTGATATGATCAATTTGTGGCCGAAAATAAGGGAGGTGTCCAAGTCTGTTATGTCTCCGTCGTCGTTGTTTTAAATCGCTTGCTGCGCAGGACGCTGAAACTGACGTGCTATTTCGCTCCAATGTCCGCGCTATTTTTGGCTATTAAGAACTGACTCTATTACTAATAAAACAATTATTCGCCGAATTGAAATCGGACGAGGTGAATATCACTGAATAAAAACCGAAGCGAAGTCGAGGTTTTTATTTGAGAGATTTTGACCGAGCCAAAGCCTTGATTTCTAGAGCTCACAAGGCTGTTTACTAATTTTCGCCCCCAACCGGATGTGTAGCTGTTGTGCTCAAAACAAACTAAGCAGTATTCAAACATTTGCCCTTAACATTTGTGTTGTAATAGATTAAAATGACAAAATTTGGACAAAGCGGTTAATATTCGCTTATCAATTACATCATCTTTGAAGATTTACACCCTAAAACCGGCATTCTAATCGACGTAACAGCCATGGTTTAGACACAGAAATTACCAACTATATGATGTAGCTATATTTGAATATTCAGGTTCGTATATTCATACATATATTGGTGGGTGTATATTTATATATTCATGTTCTTATTACCGTAAAAACATTCGCTTTTGAAAGGAATCATTCGGGCATAAAAGACGAATGTATGAATTTGTGCCCTCGATTTTGTCATGTAACTCATGTAATTGTATATTTAGGGCTATTCCAGGTATAATATTGGTCTTTACGGTTATTAACACTGCTATACAAACACAATGCCTCGCACATATAGGATTAATCTGACTTTATTAATTAATAAAGTTACTGACTAAGCAGAGTTATTTATTAACTTCCTACCTTAAATAGTTGATATCCTACAACATCGACAGACCAGCATCGAAAATAAGCTAATAAAATATCATGAAATCTTTGTAATCATCGTTTCCCGCCGAGATATTATCATAGTTATCCAATATTATTTGCTATTGTTCAATCGATCATCTTGTCTATTTGTAGTATGCTGTATGTTATCTCAATGAAGTCATCCTCCCGGAAGAGGGATAACTCCGAATAGCAAACTAGTTCTCAGGCTTTTGGAGTGAATTACCATCAAATGTGTACAAAAATTTGGTAAGTCAAGTAAGACTTTGGGACACTTCACTTTATGTAGGATAATTTTTCCAAAGGGTTTAAAGGTCTTAATTTGGGAAGGTCATTTGCGACTAAGCATTTTTACACTGGCCGTAAGGACCAGTGTCTTAATGTTATTAAAAGCGGCCTACGTTCATGGAGTATAACGCGATCCTATCTGGCCGAATCCAGGCTCGTATCAAAATGGCCGCCGTTTTAGGAGCGGAGTAAATATCAAATCACTTAGTATCAAAAGCCCTAGTACGAGAATTCCTAATACTGGCAATATTAAATTGTTGAACAAAAGTTTACCGCTAGCCTGCGTAGCAGAATTGGGACCATGGGGCACTCATTTGAAAAAGTGCATAATCAAAGAAATATAGCGATTGCTGTACGCTATCCTACAACATGCATATTATTATTCTCGCGGGCAAATCGAGTTAAGGTCACTTGTTCAGGCCAGTGTGAATGCCTAAGCAGGCGTCTTGTACTAAATCGAGCATGTACCAGCTGTCGATTATCTCTTCCGCCGGGCATCGGGAGTATTTAAGAATTAAACGAGACTTACCTAAGTTGAAGTTTGATTACAATTCTGCCAAATCAGTACAGTACAGAAGGGTTAACATGAGATGCGCACGCACCGCCGTGGATCAGCTTTCAAAAAGAAACGTTTTGTGTTCACGTATAAACAAACAAAAGAACGACCCTGCTAATGAGGAAGAACGATAACCATCGTCTCACACTGAGGTAAAAAATGGGCCGGGAGAAAATTATGGGAACTTCGGGCATATTAACCCTTCTGTACTGTACTGATTTGGCAGAATTGTAATCAAACTTCAACTTAGGTAAGTCTCGTTTAATTCTTAATTCTACCAAATCACCACAGACATCCGGGTTACCATGAGATTTCAAAGCCGGGAACACAAAATGGGAAAAACACATATGCAAGAAAAATAACAACAAAAGTTTAATTAACGACCACCACGTACAAAAAATTAAACTACTCGTGCAAAATGGCTCGACTCATTTGGTCTGTGACTGCAACTGGTCTATTGTAGAAACGACGAAAAGTAGACTCTTGTTTCCACCCAACGGTGGCTAAAATTACGTCCACTGGGATAGTAGCAACCGCTTTGCTAGTTGCTGCGCTCCTAGTACTGTGAGCAGAGAATTGCTTTGTATCCACTCCGGCTTTACCCAATAAGGTTTTTATCCAACGCCCAATGGTCGATGTGGTTACAGCACTATAAGGCTTAATATAAGACACAAACAAACTGGTAGAGGACCTCAAATTCCTCGTAACGTTTAAATAACAGTCCAAAGTTTCATAAACACACAGTTCTTTAACCGTATACCGATATAAACACAAGTCTCCAAACACCGACCCCGGACGGTCCTGTTTAAGGTGAGCAGTAAGGGCGAAACGATAACAATCCACTGTTTTAACCATGTAATCCGCTGAGATATCCATAAAGGTCAACGCCTGACACCGTTGGCCCGTCGTTAGAGCAACCAATAAGACCAATTTGAGTGTAAGGTCCTTCAGGGACAAATCGCGTAACGGCCATAATGTAACCAAATAGTCGAGGACAGGATCAACCCATCAAATGGAACGGTATTTCGGGACAGGTTTAACCACATTGAAAACGCCTTTGAGATATTTACATACGAGGAAATGACGACCAACAGGGATCTGGTTGGGGCTGCGATCAAGCGTAAAATCCAAGGTAGATACAGCCGAACGAGCCGTATTAAGCGAGGAATAACTCATACCTGCCTTGAAAAGTGTATGCAAAAACATCAAAAGGGCCTTTATAGTTGGCCGCAGAGGATCACACGACCCTTGCACACAAAACTGTATCCACTTTGCGATGTAATGGCTGTATTGCTTGTGGGTCGCGTCTCTCCACGACTGCATGATGACATCGACAATGTCTGTCGGAATATCTGCGTCCTGTAATGATCTGCGGATAATTTGCAGACCATTAACTGTAGTCGACCTTGTAGAGGATGCGTCCCCCTCCAGAGTGGGATGGACTAGGTTCTGTGGAGTCACGTTGAATATCCGCGGAGTCTCCACCAAAAGACTGAGAACGACCGAGAAGAAGGGCTGTGTGGGCCATAGCGGAACAACTAGGATTCCTGTTGACTTGTCGTGAATGATCTTTTGGACACACCTAGAGACAAGACAAAAAGGCGGGAAAGCATAAAAGAAACTATGCCATTTAATTGAAAAGGCATCTATAAAGCTCGCCTGTGGGTCCGGTTTCCAAGAGGCGTAATTGGCAAGTTGAGTGTTTAAACGACTAGCAAATAAATCTATGTCAGGCCGACCAAAGACGTTAATGATAGTCTGAAACGTCTCTTTCGATAACATCCACTCCAGATTTAAATTAAGATTTCGAGACAAGTGGTCAGCATCGACATTGTTAGTGCCACTAATGTGAGCAGCTGACAACCAAATACCCCTAGAAATAGCCCAATTCCAATTAGCCTAGCAACAGAATTGCAATGGGCAGACTTACAACCACCCATTTCATTAATATAAGTCACTGCGGTCATATTATCACACATTAAACGAATATGAACAAGACTAGCATTATTTAACAAAGACGAGAGCGCTAGATAAACCGACTGTAATTCTAGAAAATTAATATGGCGATGAGCTTCAGCATTAGACCAGACACCAGAAGTACTTAGCCCGTTGTCCAGTGTTGCACCCCAGCCGACGCCGGATGCATCTGTGTGTAAGACAATATCCGGCTGGGGGTGACAAATTTTCTTGCTGGCCGTGGGGATGGTAGTTATCCACCACGTTAACTCTTCTAAACTATCCGACGATAGAGACATTAATTTATCAAAATCACCAAGATGTATTCTCAAATGAGAATCTTTATCTGCCTCCAACTGGCGATAATAAAGCGGACCAAACTCAACCCCGGGGAAGGAGGAAACTAAGGATCCAATTAGGGATGCAACCTGACGAATAGTAAACAATTTATTCGGCTGTCGAAACTTCTGACACATCTGGATCAATTTATCCCTTTTCAAAGGAGTAAGGGTTACTGTCATAGTGACAGAATTTAAGAGAAACCCAAGAAACTCGATACATTGAGTTGGAACAAGAACAGACTTATCCGGGTGAATTTTAAAACCTAAATCACTAATAAGCTGTACAGCATGTAAAGTAGCCTGAAGGCATTCCTGCTGTGTGTCTTCAATGTACAGAGAGTCATCAATATAACTTAAACAAGTGTGTCCCCACTGGGTCCGTAACGTGGCAAAAACCGGCTTCATAACCTTAGTGAATATTCTAGGACTACTAGATAAACCCATAGGTAAACAAGTAAAACAATAAAGTGTTTCCTTCCAAATAAATTTCAGGTATTTTTGACATTCAGGTGCAATCGGAATAGAATAATAAGCATCCTTTAGGTCAATGGAAGTCATGAAACAACCCAGTCTCATGAGCTTAATAGCAGTGTCCAAAGTATCCATCTTAAAATGATAGGACACATATTCATTTAAACCTTTAAGATTGAAGATGACTCTAGAAGATCCATCTTTCTTGGGGGTAATAAAGATAGGTGAAACAACTTGGTCAGGTTCTGAAAAGGACTGCTTAATTATCCCTTTCTGTAAGAACTTGGCAATCTCAGAATCAATTAGTTCTTGCTCCGTTAAATTAAAAGTAAAATAAGGTCTAGATTTACTAATGGCTGAGTCAGGTAAAGAATTAAATTCAATGTGGCAATGTGTAACAGCATCCAAAACAAATGGATCTGAAGTAATTTCTGTCCATGCCTTGACACAATGCTTTAAACCCCCAGCTGAAAAAGTGGGTTGATTGGTAATGATAGAAGAAATAGAACGTTGACCTACCTGTTTTGTCACTCCTACTGACTCTTGCTGGTCTTGGACATTGAGGATGGGGGACGGGTGAGCCCCCGGCCGCCGCCTAAAAAAGACCTCGCTCTTCCGCGTCCTGCACTCTGATGAAATCGACCACGTCCACGTATACCTCGTCCACTGGACACTTTATAGGGCTCAAAACGTGGTGCGGAAGTGACTTTACTGCCAAGCTTATAAGATTTGCTCACCTCCTCTACTTCCTTGCTAAGATCATCGCCAAATAAGTTGGTAGAAATGGCGACAGATGGGTTACACAATGATCCATATTGTTTGTTCAAATCAGGGCGAATTAAATCGCGGCGCTTTAAGTTAATTTCTCGATTGGCTGCCAGCAGCAAAACAGCTGCATGAGTTAGCACACGTTTCTGGTCTCCACCAGCAGAATTACATACTTCAAGAACCGCACAGAGGCCGGAGATCATCAGTCCCTGAGCTTTCTGAATAGCAGAATCACGATTGCGAGTATCTTGCCGCATTTGATGCCAAATCTGCTTATTCACTTTAGGAGAAACCAACGTCGGACAATTTTCTGGCCGGACATACTTAGGCTGCAATTCCTGCAGTTTCTCTTTGGGCAGCTTATCTTTTAAAAGCCCATTAACAATTTCAGCTAAACCAGCTGCGATTGGAGCAGACGCGCGCTCATTTACAGAAAACTCTTCGGCTAAGGTCTGAAAAGATCCCTCGACACTAGGACTATCCTGTGCTGGCTGCACAAAGCTGTCGATCTTATCAGTGAGCCCAGGATCGGAAATTCCTGCGATGGAGCCTTCGGCTTCATCATCAATAGCGACCATGTCAAAATCAGAATAGACTTGATCAATGTTCTGCTGGACTCGAGTTAAAATGTCGTTTTTAGTCTCGTCTAACAACTCTTTAAACAAAGCCTTAAATTGAGGCAAAGATGTACCGCTCCCAAGGTCGGTACCGGACTCAACGGTAGATTGCTCCATAATCTAAACAGAAAGATAGAGTGCCTCTATCAACGGGCGAAACAATGCCCAAACCAACAAGAAAAGACACGTCTTATTCTCGTGGAAAAAGTATAGAACAGGACACGTCCTGTACACAATCAACCGTGGCAATGTGACTCGTCACAAAACCGGGAATTGAACAGCTTTTATTTGTATAAATATGGTAGATCTCGTCTACAAAATTAGCCACGCTAAACAAGCGGATAAAAGAAAGTTAACTTACCTGCTAAAATGAACAAAATCGAACGATTTTAAAACAAAAATTCCCGTAGAAATGTAGAACACATGCGAATCCAACGGCGATAAACAATGCACTGATCCACGGCGGTGCGTGCGCATCTCATGGTAACCCGGATGTCTGTGGTGATTTGGTAGAATTGTCAATCAAAGGGATAATGTATTGTCCCGTGGGAAGTGGCGCGTAAAAGTCGTAAAATTACCACGCGCATTTGTAGAGCTGCTGGTATGATGATCCGTGTGCCTTTTGGAATTACCCTGTTGGCGCGTTATCTATTGCGATTTCGTTCGAGAGATGGTTGTTATAGATCAGCTGCAGTGGTTTGTGATCGGTTATCAGGGTGAAGGGAGCCCCGAGTAGGTACAGATAAAAATGCTTGATTCCCCACACGATGGCAAGGGCTTCCTTCTCCGTTTGGGAGTAACGTTTTTCCACCGGAGAGAGAGCGCGACTAGCATAGGCAACAATATTGCATGAAAGCATTTTGTTGTCGATCCTTCTGAGATAGTATCGCAGATAATCCCACGGAGCTGGTATCTACTAATATTTAAGTCTCTTTATATTTACTAATATTGAAGTCTCAAAATGGCTCATGACCGGACTGTTGAGTGGAGCCTGCTTCAGTTTCGGTCATAAGCTGTTTAGTGTTTATGTGTCTGTTTCCAATGGGCGAAACCACGCTCAACACCGTAGAGATTTTCGTAATATATTCGTATTGATTCATATAATTATTCTGAAATGATTGCGTTTGATTAGGTTACATTATATTAGATTATATTATTGATTAGTGATTATAGATTTTAGGTAGAGTTGTGTTGTTGTAGACTTGTAGTCGGGTAAGACATTCTTCCAGAGCACGGTCGTGGTCTTCCTTGGTGGTACCAAATACAATGATGTCATCTTTATTCCCCTTTGATGATCTTGAGTACTTCCTGTAAGGTATGTTGATAAAACTGGGCCGCTGCGTTGGTGCCATAGTTTAATCGCTTGCACCCAAACAGTCCTAAATGTGTGCAAAAGGTTGTGATATTTCGTGACTCAGGACTGAGTTCTAGTTGGTGGTATGCTTGGCACAGGTCGAGTTTTGAGACGAACGAAGCTCCATTGAGTTCCATCCATGGAGACCGATTCAAGAGTTGGTATTGGGTGTCTCGTTCGCTTGATGGCTGTGTTTGCGATACGCGTATTGACACATAGTCGAATGTTGTTGTTTTGCTTTGGAACAATAACCACTGGGGAAACCCATTCTGTTGGTGTATTTTCAGGAACTTTCACAATGATACATCATGCTTTAACTTTTTTATTTTATTTTCCACTTTTTGGCGCAGATGCAATGGTACCCGTCGCTGATGTTGTGGCACAGGGGTAATACTTTCGTCGATGGATAATTTAACTTGCTTGTTTTTAAGTATTCCTAATCCGTTGAAAACAGGTACGTATAGTTATCTAAAATGCGTTGGAGGTTTTCGTCCTTACGTGGTTTGGGTTGTGATGGTTGTTCTGAACTGGTTAGTGAGGTTTCTTTTTTATCTGATTAAGATGTAAACTGACAAAAGCCAGTTCTTGCGCTGTTTCCGAGCTTAATAGACAACCATGCACCGTCGTCTGAGATTACGTATATTATTGCTACTGTATATTCGTGTTTCAATTCCGCAAGAGCCCGAAATTATACCCTTCCATTTTGACTGGCTTATAAAAATTAAAGGGGTATGCTTTGACCGATGTTTGTTTAAGTTCAATATGTTCCTCAGTTTTGCAAATGTATTCTCATCAATTACGTTTATGCTGGACCCGGTGTCAATTGTCCATTTATTGACGCTGACGTTTGTGGGTGTTTTCGCTTTTTTTCGCCTGCATAACAATATTCCGTAGATTCGCTGTCACTATTACTGCTGCTCCCATCGTCAGATTTTCTCATTGGTCGTAATTCCTTTTGGCTGTCATGGGGGTTTTGGTTTCTTCGTGATTTGATTTAAAATATTGTAAAAAATGCAATAAAACAAGGAAAAAGTTCAGTTTAATTCAACGAAAACGGCGCTCTTAATACAAAAAGGTCTCTTTGAGTCAAAATACCGGTTTCAATTGAAAATGGAGATGGCTAATCTTTGCTAGGATCGTATTTTGGCATCGACACGTCTCCCGAAGAAAAAATATACTCCGCTGCTGCCCAAATGACAAAAATAAAAGCATATTGAGGGTTTACAAGCTTCGACGGGGCCTTTTCTGAATGGATAACGGTTGAAAACCTTAGTTTTTGTTGATTATAATGTTTTCTCACTCCTCAAAAGCTCAAGACGCCATTTTTAACTACAATTTGGCAAGTTAACGATGCCCTTGAGGATAGTTAACTTTAACTACAGTTAACGCTAACTACGTTTTTATACAACTGGCTTCACTACGTGATTAAAGTTAACTACATTTTAAGTACAGTTGGGTGGTTAAAAAGTAGTTAAAACATAGTTCAGTAAGAGTTTTATACAACCGGCCCCAGGAGATGAATCCGCAAGATCCAGGATATCGAACTTGCAAAGTTCCCCGTAGACACCTTGTGCTGTTTGTATGAGCAACATTGCTGAAACATCTTGACCATGATCTTGATCTCATAATATCACAAACTCTTGACCACGTGAGGTGATGCTCATGCCAAACTTCGTGAAGGTTCCGACTGGATCCCATTCTCCCCCAACACACGCGGTCCTGCAGTGCTTAGTTTATATATACCAAACATATGGTTAAAATTATGATTTTAAACTCACTTTGAAAACTAAAAAAAATTTATCTTCAATGTTATCATTTTTTAACAAGTGAGAAATGTTTTCTGACATTTTCATTATGGAATAATTATAATATCTCCAGCAAATTTTTTTTCTCACTCCCCGACACAGCTAACCCAAGCCAAATATAAATGCCTAATACAAATACATATAAGAGATGCCTGCGGAGTAGGCTATCATTTTTTTAGCAGTAAGAAAGGTTTTTTGACATTTTCATTATGGAATAATTATAATATTTTCAAGACGAATTCAATTCATCAAAGAAACACGCGATTCTAAGATTTGAAACGTTCGAAATATCATAAGATAGCTAATGAATGGCCTGACTACATGGGTTGCCCGGCTAGCTCAGTCGGCAGAGCATTAGACTCTTAGGCCCGTATTCAAAAAGCTCACTCACACTCAAACTCATTGAGTGGGAGATCTTAATCTGCCCATAACGTTTTACATATCTATAATAATTTATAAGCCTAATTATTGACATATTGTTCAAATTATGATTTCAAGCTCTCTTTGAAAACTAAAAATTTCCTTAATTGATATCATTTTTTAACCGGTTAGAAATGTTTTTTGACATTTTCATTATGGAATAATTATAATATTTTCAGGATGAATTCAATTCATCACAGGTACACGCAATTCTAAGATTTGAAACGTTCGAAATATCATAAGATAGCTAATGAATGGCCTGACTACATGGGTTGCCCGGCTAGCTCAGTCGGTAGAGTATGAGACTCTTAATCTCAGGGTCGTGGGTTCGAGCCCCACGTTTGGCGGTTTATGTATTGTCTGTCTTTGCTTCAGTGATGTCTAGCTAGTGTACATAAAAATTTTCGGGATTCTTTGAGGATGGACCCCGGAGGCAACAGGTTGAATTATATTAGATAAGGTAAGTAATTTGACTTTATGGACCTCGAAAGAGTATTATTTCGGAAAACTGGGCAAACAGACCATCAAACTTTGTGTTCGAGAAGTTACCGCGCAATGCCTTTTTAGCGCAGTAGGTAGCGCGTTAGTCTCATAATCTAAAGGTCCTGAGTTCGATCCTTAGACAAGGCCCCAAGTTTTTACGTATCTATAATAATTTATAAGCCTAATTATTGACATATTGTTCAAATTATGATTTCAAGCTCTTTTTGAAAACCAAAAATTTTCTTAAATGATATCATTTTTTAACGGGTTAGAAATGTTTTTTGACATTTTCATTATGGAATAATTATAATATTTTCAGGACGAATTCAATTCATCACAGGTACACGCAATTCTAAGATTTGAAACGTTCGAAATATCATAAGATAGCTAATGAAAGGCCTGATTACATGGGTTGCCCGGCTAGCTCAGTCGGTAGAGTATGAGACTCTTAATCTCAGGGTCGTGGGTTCGAGCCCCACGTTGGGCGGTTTATGTATTGTCTGTCTTTGCTTCAATGATGTCTAGCTAGTGTACAATAAAATTTTCGGAATTCTTTGAGGATGGACCCCGGAGGCAACAGGTTGAATTATATTAAATAAGGTAAGTAATTTGACTTTATGGACCTCGAAAGAGTATTATTTCGGAAAACTGGGCGAACAGACCACCCAACTTTGTGTTCGAGAAGTTACCGCGCAGTGCCTTGTTAGCGCATTAGGTAGCGCGTTAGTCTCATAATCTAAAGGTCCTGAGTTCGATCCTCAGACAAGGCACAACGTTTTTACATATCTATAATAGATTATAAGCCTAATTATTGACATATTGTTCAAATTATGATTTCAAGCTCTTTTTGAAAACAAAAAATTTCCTTAAATGATATCATTTTTTAACCGGTGAGAAATGTTTTTTGACATTTTCATTATGGAATAATTATAATATTTTCAGGATGAATTCAATTCATCACAGGTACACGCAATTCTAAGATTTGAAACGTTCGAAATATCATAAAATAGCTAATGAATGGCTTGACTACATGGGTTGCCCGGCTAGCTCAGTCGGTAGAGCATGAGACTCTTAATCTCAGGGTCGTTGGTTCGAGCCCCACGTTGGGCGGTTTATGTATTGTCTGTCTTTGCTTCAATGATGTCTAGCTAGTGTACAATAAAATTTTCGGAATTCTTTGAGGATGGACCCCGGAGGCAACAGGTTGAATTATAATAAATAAGGTAAGTAATTTGACTTTATGGACCTCGAAAGAGTATTATTTCGGAAAAACTGGCGAACAGACCATCCAACTTTGTGTTCGAGAAGTTACCGCAGTGCCTTGTTAGCGCAGTAGGTAGCGTGTTAGTCTCATAATCTAAGGTCCTGAGTTCGATCCTCAGACAAGGCACAACGTTTTTTACATATCTATAATAATTTATAAGCCTAATTATTGACATATTGTTCA